AGAGAAGTTCACTAATAGTCGCAGCAAGTGCTGGATACTCTGCTTCAGTAGATGAACGAGCATAGTAGCTAGTGCTTGGCTTTCCAAGATACCAAAGAGTCGCCAATAAAAATGAAAAAAACATTTTTATGGACTTTATTATGCCAACTAAAGATCCCAATCAGCATCTGAAATTGCTTTGAGTTTGACAGCAAGTACAGAGTTTGACAAATCCCTTAAACCGAGAGATATGATGCTTAAAAGAACAAGCCTTGGCCCGGGTTATTCTTCGAATAAGAAAGAAGATGATGCAATGCTTTGAGATGTTGAAACCTAGGCTGTGAGAGGAATTGACTTAGTTTGTGAATAGCATAAAGGGTCACACAAATCAATCAACCAATATGTCTTCTGTAATGAAAAGCATCAGGTAAGAGATCCCCTTCATGAAATCTGAGAGTGACTTTAGGATCCATAGGAGTAGCAACATGCTTACACTAGTGCTTTCTTAGAGATATTATGCTTGAGCTAGATTAAGCAATTTTAATCCCGAAAAAATACTTTAAACATCCTAGATCCTTTAAAAATGCATTAACATCTAGCTACACTAAGTGCATCTTTTGACATACCGCAAGAGCCAACAAGACTATAATGATGACTGTTTTTGCCACTGGAGAGAAAGTGTCAAAATAATCGAGACCTTGTTGTGTGTAACCTTTTGCTACAAGACACGCTTTTTGTCTTTTGACCGAACCATTTGATTGGTACTTGATCTTATAAATCATCGACAGCCAATTAAATGATTTCGTAGTGACAATGAGACAACATACAAACTGTTTTTTAGTCCCATAGCCTCCAACTCAAGTTTCATAGCTATATGCCATTGAGAATAAATACTTGATAGCTTGATGAAAGAACTGTGGTTCAAACTGAGAAAAAACATTAAACACAAACTATCTGTGGAGGGACAAGGCTATCTAAGAAACAGAGTTCCCAATGTGATAATAAGAACTAATAGAAGGAATGGAACACTGAGCAATCGAGTTACAGTGAAAGTGTTTGAGATAAACGGAAGGCTTAACAACCTTTCATGACTTTCTCAAAATTGGAACCACATCAAGAGAATATAACTCAGGAGATGGCAGCTCTGCCCGGTTAGAATAATGAACTTTATCATCAGGAGTAAAGAGATTCATAGTCAGAGGGTTCATCACAAGTATCCTGATGAGGAATCAATGAAGGAACAGGTCAGACCACATCAGGAAATGGATCAACAACCTGCTCTGCCTCAGCAACAATATAAAAAGAAACCTCTTCATGGAAAAATACATCGTGTGATATAAACATCTGCTTGGAAAGAACATCATACAGCTTGTAACCTTGACTATAAGTGGATAGCCCAAAAACACACACACCTTTGTTGAAACTTAGTCTTATGAGTAGTCAAATTAGATGCAAAGGCCAAATACCTAAAAAATTCTGAGGTAAGAATAATCTGTAGAATTGTTATATAGGACTTTATATGGGGTTTTCTGTTTCAATAGAGGTGAAGGAGTTTTGTTGATCAAGAAGGTAACTGTTAAGACATAATCGGTCCAAAACTTGATAGAAACCTGAGATTGAAAATATAAAGCCCTCGTCATATTAAGAAGAGGCTGATTTTTGCTCTTCACAATCGAGTTTTGTTGTGTCCTCTCTACATAACTAAACTGATGTAAAACTCCCTTTTCAGCAAAAAAATCAATTCTGGAGCATTGTCCGACCTGAACTTTTTATTTGAGCATTAAATTAAGTTGCCACCATATTTAAGAACTTTCAAACAACTATTGCTGCATCATATTTGTGTTCTAATAGGTAAACCCAGGTGAATCTAGAATAATCATCAACCAAGGTTAAAATGAACCTATGTCATGTATAAGAAGGAACATGATAGGGTCCCCAAATGCCAAAATGCCCAATGTCAAAATGACAGCTTCAAAGATGATTATTAGACTCAAACAATAGCCCTTTTTGTTTAGTAGAAGGGTAAATATAACAAGGAACACATTTATTGATTTTGGTAAGATCAAACAACAATTGAGATTTCAAACTATCCATCCTTTTAAAAGAAATATGGTCAAGTCTGTTATGCCAAACATGAACTGAAATATTATTTACATAAGCATTGGAAATGGAATTTAGAAATTTTATATGAAACACATATAGATCTGCACACGATCATCCATGCCAATCATCCTTTTGGTGTTGGCTTCCTAAATAATAAAGTGATCAGGAAAGAAACTAATAGTAAGCTAAGAGCTGCATGTTAGAGCACTAACGGATAACAAGTTGAACTTGAATTGTTTCACAAATAGAACACTTCGAAGATCGAGAGTAGAGATTAATCTGACATCACAACACAACATAACTAGAATTTTTGTGTGATTTGGTAAAGTGACAGTAGAGTTTTCAATTTCTCTCATTGATATGAAAACAGCAGTAGTGGAAATAGATATGCCTAATAGCACCTAAGTCTACAATCCAAAAAGCATTAGAAGAAAAAAGAGGGTGAACTGACACTGAGAAACATATACTTATAGAATATGAAGTAGTTGTGTTGTAATGATGATCATCAGTGTTTGATACTGATTAGAGCTCAAATTTTGAACAAAATTCTCAACATCTAGTTGCTGATCATGCTGCTTGTCTTCATTCTAAGAAAAAGAGGAAGTAGAAATTCGATTCACTGAATTAGAACTAGAAGAATTGTTGGAATTGTCCCTCTATTTTGGTTTATAACTCGGTGGAGATTCATCCTGTATCATCTATTAATATCATGACCATGATAATTATAGGGATTGTAAAATGGTCTGTCTTTCTTCTTATTATCTTAAAGGCAAAAGCCATAGCTCCACTAGAATCGATATCAGAAGTAATCTATTTATCTATTTTCCTTTGATGATTTTCTTGAGATATCAAGGCAAACACCTAATTGATAGGAGGCAAAGGATCTATAAGGAGTTGTCATCTGATTTGAGAAAATGAGTCATGCAGTCCTATGAGAAAGGACATCAAGAATTCCATTTGGTGATGATTGGTTAATTCTTTAATTCTTTCCAAATGGTCTTGAGTTTAGAATATAAACGCTGACGGTACTTTGATCCTAAACAAGGTTCATCAATTCTCATTTTAACTGAAAAATATGTGGTCCATTTTTCTATTGAAACATATCCTTAAGATCAGTGTAGATTTCATGAGCTGAAGTGGCAAAAATCACACTAGCAAAAATCTCTTTGGATACAGAATTCAAAATTCAAGAGATGATTTTGTTATTGTTTTGAATCTAAAAATTAAGTATATCTGAATCAATACCTTCAGGTTTGATTATGGATCTATCAATACATATAAGTTTATTCTTCATTGACAAAGCTATTGTCATTGCTCAACTCCAAGAGGCATAGTTATCTCCTGTGAGTTGCTAAGAAACATGGACTAAGCCTAGACTATTAGAATGGCAAAGAACGTAGGGACTAGAAGGTTCATCAATGGTGGACTTGCTCGAAGATGACCTCGCATTAGAAATGTTTACAGATTGCTACTACTCCATTCGAAGCTTAGAACAAAGATCAAACCAAATATAGAGAAGGATGAAAAAGAAAGCAATAGAAAAACAAGCTTAATAACAAAGAACTACAATTGAATCAATGGAGGAGAGGAATACATCAAACTCTTTGCTCTGATGACGTATTGAACATAGAAATGGAAAAATCGTGAAGTACCTCATTTCATTCAATAGACTAGAAATTACAAGCTAAATAGCTATACAACAGTGTTATAAATTGGGCCTAGAAATCATTTTATTGAAAGTGGAATAGTTTCGATATCAATTTGTTATGAAAAGATAAGAGATTAAGACAATTATATGAAGTAGATGATCACAAGAATACAAGAAAGAAAATAATTTGTAGAAGATGAAGATTTTATTATAATATTGAGAAAGAATACAAAGATTTTGTATTGTGACTTATCTAACCAATAATGAGGTTAAACAACCCAAATAAATTGTAGAGAATAGCCACATTTTTATAGAGAATAATCCAAGCCCTAAAAGTCCAAATATTTCTGTAGTTTGATCTCTTTAAGTCCAACTCAAATTCCAACTCTCAATAAGACTTGTAAATAGAATTTCAACTAGAATTTGTCAAACAGACTTCGAATAGGATTCCAAAATCATTTCAAATAAATTTTTTCTTAATGTGCACTTAAATTAGAATCACCAATTATTTTTAACAAAGAATTCGAGTCACACCCAAATTCTAAGAAACAGAAAGTTGGTTACATAAAAACTAGATGTCAACTAATAACTTAACAGAAAACGAAACAAATTTTATAGAAGCTAATAAAAGTTGTGCAATTCCAATGAAAAACGTGAAAGAGCGAAACATATCAATACTTATGTGGTCTTGGACTTGAATGCATTATTGGTCCTTCTTATTCATTGGTAGACTCAACAAGGTGGTAAAAAAATTAGGTTGCCGATCCTAAGTTTATTAAAATGAGTGTGAAATTCTAGAGATTATTGAAGTTCTGCCTCCATTTTAAGTGAGTGCCTGAATTTCAATTTTGTCACACTCATCGAAATTTATAATTTTGTTTCAGTAATTGGGACTGGAATTGAAACATGATTATTTGTGTATATCTCTGTCATTTTCCTTTTTGACAAACTCATGAAGTTAGGCTAGTGATTTGATTCGAATAAAAGTATAAATTAAGTGATTCAACAAAACAACATTCAAATATCAACTCAAAGTTCAATAATATTCATATTGCCAAGTTTTCATGGAAAAAAAAAAAAAACCACATAAAAACACTCAATCACATGCTGCCAAATCACCCTAATCACCCTATTTTTTTTTCGATGTTTTTAATCCCTGTTTATTCAGCATTTTTGTAAGATTATAGTATAGGCAATATAAGATGTTTGTCCATTTTCCTGTCCAGAATTATCAATTTTGCCGTAACAAAAATATGCCTAATAGTTTTCGCTAATCACCGTGGCTCAGTGATTCACTAAAAGTTGGTGGAACCACAACAGAAGAAGAAACTTTGAGCCTCTTAACCCTTGATTCCTCCTCTCCACCACCACTCATCACCTCCGGGCTACTAATCCACCCCATCATTCGATTTCCGAAACCTTGTTGTCCCAAGTAAATGTCACTAATATCCAACGCATTGAAGTTCAAACCCTGCTGCCAAAAACCCCATTCGTTGCTATACTCTGACACGGTCGAGCTTCCCCGAGAAGAGGGTTCATTAATAACAACATGAGGAGGCACAAGTACACTTGGTTGCACAACTTTCTTTATTTTGTTCATATCAGCATAACTTCGATATTGATCATAGCCCCTTAAGTGAAAGATACTAGAAAAAGTGAAATGGTCACTTACTCTATTCTTATTTGCCTTGGTTTCTGCAGAGTTTCTAGCCATTATAGCTTGCAAATTCTTGCTTAATTTAGCTTTGGAAGAAGAAAAACTTAGCCCATTAATCCTGTTCGAATCGGAATGAATTGGACTAGAATCAACTGTAGCAAAGTTTGTACGAGCATTTTCTCCGCGAAGAACACGTGCCGCTTCATCATAGGCTAGAGCAGCTTCTTCAGGTGTATCATAAGTTCCAAGCCATAATCTTACTCCTCGATATGAGTCTTTGATCTCAGCAACCCATCTGCCTGAAGGCCTTTGTCTCACACCAACAAATCTACGTGGCAGTTTTCGCAAACCCATGGTGGCAGGCACCGCCATAGTAGTGGTGGTTTCCGCTATATCACGTCCAGACATTTTTTTTTTGGGGGTTCGGTCCAGAGGTTTATCCGTTGAAGTGAAATTTCAAATCGGATCGACTGAAACAAGTATATTACAATTCAAGCAGGTTATATAGAGAGGTTTCGCGATCTGTCACTGCATTTATATAAAGCCAATTCAAAGAATGAGGCTGGTCGTGTCCCATTAAGCTTAACCAAGTTGGCTTGGCTCCTGGAAAACTCTGATTAAAAAATTAATCGATTGGCATTATTACATAAAATACAAGGATGCCTAGTAAATAAAAAAAAAAATGGATTCTGGTTAGTTGGCCAACAACTGACAGTTAAAACTTGTATTTTGCCAAATATGTACTTTTAGTTCTCAAAGAGGGAATTAAACTACATAAATAATTTTGATCTACAATAGTTTAATTTGTAGAAAGATGCTTTAACATGGAGATTTGTTAATAAATGTCCTCATATTTGTGTGAGGACTGAGGCATGTGATCAAAAATTGAAATTGACTCACGACATGTTGAGTGTACAAGTGAAATAAATAATGTATTTGTTCAGTAAATATAGTTTTGACAAGAGAATTGAGCTACTTCTGTAATAGGATAACTTTTAGGTTAACATTTTATGATGAAAATTCCGAACACGATTTAGTGAGGTGATTCAACAAAACCATCCCCCACGATTTGTGTAACCCGATCATGTTATATTATGTTTCGGTTATGTAAACTTATGGAGTAACTAGTTTCGTCATTTTCCGACTATGTATTCACTTGGAATTAATGTCATTTTCCATAATCTACACCCTGTTGTTCTACTTTTCGAAGCAATATTTTAGGAGCTGATGGCATTTACAGATTTGTTAGTACCATTATTCCTAACCCATTTGCATGCCTTTTAAGTTATTTAATTTGGGGTCAGCATGTATGAGCATGCATATCCCCTCCCATTTTGGGGTCAGTGTGTATTGATTGAACTCAACTAGATGATGTCAAATTTGTTGAGCTCACACACATGGATGTGTTAAGTACTATATTAAGGTGTACTTAATTGAGATGATAGTTTTCTACAATATCAGATCATATAGTGAACTAACAAATCTGTAAATGCCATCAGCTCCTGTCTATAAACCAGAACCATGTAAATATACACTATTACAACCACCCTCTTGAAAAGAACCCCCGCCTACTCCCTTCTAAAATATAAAATGTGAATATAACCAAAAATGACATTCAATAAAAAGTAGGCAGCCTAAAATATAACCAATGTAACATACGAAAAAGTTGCAGCACTTACTCTAAATACAACAAATAGTACAAAGTCCCGCATGGCTGCTTCAATTACAAAAAATATAGACTTCCCAAGGATGGTATAAATGCAAAAAATCATCTACTTCCATCCCACAAGTGTTTCAAATACAAAAAATAAGGTACTTTGTATGCTGTTGTAACAACCAAATTGCCAAAAAAATAGCAATTTTCCACCATTTACAAACTTGATATTAGTTCAACGCTCTCTTGCGTGTCCCAACAGTTTGCGGTGCTTGAGAAGATGATACGTTACAAAATTGTGCCTCCTCAACATCTATGGTGTTTGCAACGTTGACTTCTGACCTACTATAGGTTCTCGAAACTGTGAACTTCATAGCTACCTGTACATGAGGAAATTCATAACAAAATTATCAAAAGTGTCAAATGCATATTGAATCAAAACAAAATGAAAGAAAACATCAAATATGATTAGCAAAGGCAGGCACCTTTTTATGACCCTTCGATTTCTTTGAACTCCTTTCCAAGGAACTTTTTTGCGAAGTTTTCTTGGCGCACCTTTACTTTTTGTATAGTTTGGATCCAAAATGTTGATGCTATTGACATTGCCCAGTTCGTTCCCATGCACCCCCACGATATTACTTTTCAACTTAGCCAGTTCGCTTGTTTGGAACTCAATCCAACCTAAAAACTGTTTGGACCGTTCTTCACTTGTCGCAACCATGTCTGCCATCTTCGTAAAAGCGACACAAAATTGCTTATATCTCAACTGGTCTGTAGTACATACCAAACCATCATACATGGTCGGGACCCGTATGTACGGTCTACAAACATCTCACCTTCATCTCCTCAAAACATACTTCTCAGGAAACGTGGAGATATCATTGCGAATTAAAATTGAGATTGCATTCTTGCAAATAATACCACGAAACTCGAACAAATGACAGTTGCACTCAATCTCGCAGTTATCCCCACGATAACAAACTGTAAAAAAAAAAAATCTTCTTTCCTTCTTTGAGAATGATATCCTCACGGACCTCGTACTTTGTTACCTCGCTAAAGCCTTTCACGAATAGTACTTCACAATAAACTTTCTTGTAAATTCTTGTTGGAACGCCCTAAATTTTGTGATTGTGTACACTTCTTGGAATTGTTTCTCCATATCGTACTTTGTAGCACACGGAACCAAACATGATCTTACAGTTTGAAATTTTAAGTCATGTCCATCCAGCCCTCCTCAAATTCCTTACAACTTAGTGCATCATACACCAACCCATGTATAGCATGAAGTATTTACTCTTTTTCAACATGGTAGCCGAACTTTTCGGGCAATTTCTTAGAATATACCACAAGCACCATCTATGCCTATTGTTTGGGAAAACTAATGCAATAGCATTTTGCATAGCTCGATCTTAATTTGTAATAATTTCACTAGGAGCTTTACCACACATACATTCAAGCCATGTTCTAAATAGCCAAACAAATGTATATGTTTCTTTGTTCGAGACCAAAGCACATCCGAATAGAGTTGACGGCCTATGGTGGTTCACCTTTATGAAAGGAGCGAATGTCATATCGTACATGTTTGTAAAGTAAGTCGTATCAAAAGTAACGACATCACCAAACTCCTTATAAGCTTCCTACATTGATTATCTACCCAAAACACATTTCTCAAATGACACTCTTTATCCAAGTCCATACTAAAATAAAAACATGGACTACTTGCTTTCATTTTCGAGAAACACGCTTGTATTAAAGCAGCGTCCTCTGCCCCAAGTCTTAAGCAGCGCACTTTATCAATGAAATTTCTACAATCTTTCTCAACATGTCATATACTCAAGTCCACCTGCCTCTACAACAATTGAGTTGTAGCTTTTATGCACAGGTATTCCTGCTATATCATTCAGCTCAAGTCGTCTTTTAATGTGTTCACTGAATGTTCGATTGCATCTATACAACCCAAACTTAGTTGGGCTTGTTTTACAGTTATGCTCTAAATGAACCACGTTTATACGCCACATTCCAGAAATATCAGAACACGCAGTCAATCTGGCTTTGCACCTTGTTTGAATTGTAGGTGGTAGCTTTAGAGAAGTACTGTTCTCACGATTTCGTCAACCTTCTCGACTACAGCTATAACTCACATATTGTACAATCCTGTCATCTTTCTTTGTTGAATTTTTTTTTCTGAAGGAAAAACCTAATCGATAAACGTATCTCTTGTAGAATTTAAATACCTCGTTTTCATCAGCAAATTTCATACCAACTTTAGGTACGATAATCTCATTCTGTGTTCCTAACATTTTCCCAGCCAAATCATCGTCACTCGCAAGTTGAGATGAGTTAACCTCCATTCCTGCAAGGAATTAACATTCAGTGAATGCAAAGCATGAATACTCAACGACATAGCATTTCATTTTCTCAGAGAATATGTAGCTCAATGGATAAAAAACAACAAAACATGCTGTTTGAAACTAATATAATGCCCCAGTTTCATAAACAAGGACCTTAAACCAGAATTAAAACTCTCAAAAGTTACTGTGACATAGCATTCCTACCATGTATGCATATGCATTTCTGAAACTTATCTTCAATCCCTCAACATTTCATTTTCTCAAAGAATATGTAGCTCAATGGAAAATAGGTACTCACCCAAGTTTTCATCGCCACCGTACTCGCCGACCAGATTGGTGGACGCGATTTGTGTATCTCTTTCAACGTGGGTCAATTTCTCTGTATTATAGGCAGAAGATGAAGTTAAATGTTTGCATATTCTTCCCCTTTTGTGCCATCGCTGGCGGCGTCTATGTCGAAGAAGGTGAAGACATTCAGTGTTAGCCCGTCCATTATCGGTGGCGTCCGAGTCCGGACGATGTCGGTTGGGAACGCGGGAAATGAAAAAAGAAACAAGGGTTTTATATTTCAAATTTGGGGTTCTTTTTTTAATTTTATTTAGCGAGATTTTAAATGAAAATATCGTCAATATATCGTGATTATGGACACGTTTACGTGAACAGTAGTGTACTTGTAGCTAGGGGCGGATTCCGGGGGGGGGGGGGTCCTGCAGGGTCAAGTGACCTCTAGATTTTGAATTTATTTCTTTTTTTTT